AACAGAAGCTAAAGCCATTTTCTAATTAAAGCATTAAGTGTGTTTCCCCCCCTTTTCCCCCACTTGGCCCCAAACATTTGTCAATTAAAGATTTTGTTTGATATTCAAAGACCTCTCCTAGCAAGAGATCTGAGGAATGAAAGGAGAATCATCTTGTTCTGTGTTTGTGAAGAGATCCTGCAAGCTGCCAGCTAGTTCAAGGTCTTGATTCTTTGTTTCTATTGATTGCACATCTTCAAAAGCTGTGACTCTACATGCTTTGTTAAAGCACATTGCTGCTTGTTAATTTACTGGAGTTTCCTTTACTCATCTCTTCCACGGGTGCTGGCTTTTATCCAAGTACACATCCATATACAGAATTTAAAAGAGGGGCTTTACAGTGCTGGTGTAATTAAAGCAATCAGCAGACCATGGAAATGGTGGGAGTGAATTGTGTCAACACTGATCAGGAAGAAAAGGCCCACACAGCCTCATGCAAAGTTTCCTCCTCCCCATCTCCAGCCTTCTTCTAAAGACCTAAGATGTGATCCAGGAAAGTCCTACACAGAATTCACACATGGTAGGAACGTGTGAAAACTGTGTCTCATTTTTGACAGGAATCTGCCAACATTTGCAACTTTTGTGGGGGGAAAGAACTTGATATTAATATGGGACGAACTGAATCCATCATACTTGGAGCTTAGAGTGCCGATTCTTAAAAGTCTCAATTTGAATCACTGTGTGTGTTCCACCATGTGAGCACTTAATTAGGATTGCTGGTTGTGGGTTTTTTAAAGAAATGTTTTTCATCTTTAATAAGCCTATACACAGAGCTTGGAAAAGTTACTCTGGGGAACTACATCATCTAGATTCCACAATAGGGATGGGCCATGTTTAGCCCTCAGTACCTTTTTGTGCCCCCCAGCCTCCATACCCCCAAAAGATAAAAAGAAATAAAATGCTCAAAATATTCCTTGTACCCTCTTGGGAACACAGGGCAATTTTGTCATATTTCCAGAGACTCACATTACTCCTGGGCCTCCATCACACTCTCAACTTTTATCTTTTTCTTTTTCTATCACTAAAGATGCAAGAAAGTTTTTTCAGCTAAAATAGTTTTTTTAAAGTTAAACTTGTTTCCTAGTTAACAAAAACATTCTAGTAACCTTAACAGTACATAAACACTGGATTTAAAAAAAAATAAACAAACCATTAATAATATGCAAATTACCTCACTTAGCTCTGTCCCTGATTATGGCCTCTGGCTGCCAGAAAATGTGAATAATGTGCTTTGAACCTGCTGAGATTGGCCACACCCCTTAAAAAACCCACTGTACTTTAAAGAAGTAATATGGTAGACAGATATTATATCATTCTTTCCAAGCTGGAAATAGCTGCACCTATTGAATTCGACAAGTGATGCTTGGAGAGAATTTTGTTTCAGTTTTTTAAATGAAATTTGCAAATATTCACTATTATTATTTCCATATGTGGAGTCAAAGAATTTGATCTTTGAAATCTGAATGTAAGAAAGAAAAAACTGACTTACTTTCCCCCACCTTTAATAAAAGGCACTGAACCACTATAACCATCACAAAGACTTTATCCTTGTACAGTTGATGCAATCTCTTATGTTTAATTTTAAAAATATATCCCTGATATTCTTTTCCATTGCCTTTTATATGATTCAATACAACCAATGCTGAGTGAATTTAGAAGATGTGACTTACCATGTAATTACTAATGTAAATATTTGTCTCTTCTCCGAGTCTAAGAAATCATGTTGCTTAGTGTAAAAAGGTGTAACTAGAGTAGGCCTACTGAATTTGTTCTGTGGGTTCAGTGGGCCTACTTTCTGTTGATTCAGTGGGCCTACTCTATAATTGTGACTTACTATGCGAAGAAATAGGATTTCATCTGTTCTATATAATGGTTTAAAGCAGATGTACCACATCTTTTCTTTCTCATCTTTAGTTTCCCCCGTTCAATGTTTTGTTCCATTTTCAGCTTTATTTGATCAACAAGAGCCTTGATTGGGATACTTCCTGTATAAAAGCATATATAATAGTTCTGGTAAGAACCCATGAGAAAGAGAGATTCTGTAGCTGATAAAAAATTTCATTGAGTTTATAAAAAGGCAGGTTACCTACAATAGATATCCAGACTAGGGAATACTAAAGTGTTGTAATTTTCAAAATGAATTATACTTATGTTCCACTAAGACTTGGAGATGGTAACATATCCAAGCCAATATGGTAGCTGATTCTACAAAGTGCTGTTTCCTTGATTCCTTTGGTCACTTAGACAAGGCAAGAGGAAAACCAGGGCTCTTGCTGATTCTACAAAGTGCTATTTCCTTGATTCCTTTGGTAGACAAGGCAAGAGGAAAACCAGGGCTCTTTGGTAGAGTCACATTCTTTGTGTGCAAAAGGCTAAGCATTTCCAAGCAGCAGAGCGGAATACTGCTCTATAAAACAGCTTTCCAGACTGTAAACCAGAGCTCAGCAGCAGGCAACAGCTTTCAGAACTGCAAGGCACAGGTCAGCTCCATAGAACAACTTCAAAGCCTTCAAGTTAGGACTTTGTTTAATGTAACAGATTCCTGGAACTAAAACCAGTTGCTAACACCCAGCTGGAATAGAACAACTGAAGGAATGGGACTTGCACGAGTACTGATGAACAAGCAGGTCTGCTCTAGTTGGGACTAACAATGGGATTTAGCCCTTGGGTTCAGATATGCAACTTGATCTTCAGTGGGCTCATTGACTGAAATCCTGTTGTTTAGCACAATAAATTGCAACTAAAGTACACCTATTGAATTAACAGAACTCATGGAAGAGTTGGCTTGCCAATCCTCACTGATTCAATGGTCATAGTCTAGTTGTGACTTACGACACTAAGCAACATGATTTCAGCCAGTATTTATGAAAACATTGGCTTGGTTTTTTCTAAATAACTATAGAAAGGTACCAAGGTCCAAAGGAGCACCTTGCAGTAGCAGCAACAGAAGCCCAGATTAGAAAGATAGGAGACAACTAGACATAAAAAGAATAAGACATTTCGTGGGCCAGGTTGGCCATGATAAATTAAAACTATATTTTTCACCCATTATCCATGAAGTATGCCCTTGTATGGGTTCTCTGCATATCACTTTTAAAGTGCTGAACAAATTTATCACAAAAGCAAAGCAAATGATTATGAATCAATTGAACAATCTTATGTTGGACTGACACTTACTCTCACCCAAGCAGAAGATAGGGTTGACACAAACGCAATGTATTCTTTAAGCTGTTTTCATTGACTATGCCTGGAGTCCTATGCCCATGTGGAGAACTTGGAAAAGTTACTTTGGGTGGCTTCTGCTCCAAGATTCCCAAAGTCAGTATCATCAATGCCCATGATGACTGGGGAATTCTGGGATTCATGATCCAGAAAAGCTCTACTTCTGTACATGGAATTAAACCTTATTGAACATAGCAGGGTTTACCTTTTTATCAGTGTGGTTAAAGGCACTGTGAAACTGGCACATTAAAAAAAGAAGAAATTTGAAGACTTTCTTGTAGATAGTAATAGGGTAAAATGACACCCTGTGGAGTCCTTGATAAAATGTCTGCTTTGGACTTATAACTCTCAGAATCTCCAAACCTCCTTTGGACAAGAACCATCTTGTCTCTTCAGAAATGTCATGCTTGACCAGATGTCAGTTTTTCTTTTTAATAACACAAGCAGAAAACAAGAACACTGGTTTATTCCATTACTTGAGGTTAAGGAACATGAGCTGGAGATTTCGATGGGCTTTCAAAAAGAATTTCTTGCATTTGAAAGTGGTATTGTATTTTATTGGCCAAAGTATTGTTGTGCACTTATATAAAACATGTAACTTTTAGATACAAATTACGGGCAGTTACAAAATCATCATAGACATTATCCGTTGCATGCCAAGTTACACAACTTGTGTGCAATAGATGGTGTCTACAGCGATTTCTCAACTTGCTGAAATTTGGCTACAAAAGTTACATATTTTGTGTAACTACACAATAGGATTTTTGGCTACTGTTTGTGAGTGGCTTTTGCAGTTAAATATTTGTAAAAATTTATAAATGTTTCTATTAATATTGACAATTGTGACTAAGCATTTGACTGAGACATACTCCAACAATTTATTAATTAGGTGCAATTAACTGTGATAAGTCATGCATATTATATATGAACATTAATTGGATCTTGACTAGTAGATTTCAGAGTTAGATCTCTGAATGCAGCAATGAATGGTTAACAGGAAAAAAAAACAGGCAACTTGGTAGCCTGAACCATTTCCAGTGTTTTATCTTGATAGTGTTTTACTTCAGCATATTTTTCAGGTCATTTGTCTGACAACAAATGCATACCTTCTCTCTCCAGAGCAAAACAAACCTGTTACAGCATTGTTGCAGAATTATATAACACTATAAGTTTGAGAAAATATTATTTATCTCTGAAGATTGAAAGTTAATTTTTTCCTTGGACTCCCTGAAAAGCATGCAGTAATCAAATAGTAGTTACCCTTATCACTGAATTTTGGCTTTTCTGAAAATGAAACTTAAATAAGGAAGTAGATAACCTAGCTAAACATTATTTATATTACGGGCCACAAAAGGGCATGTTGGTTCTGAAACATTACTAAAGCAAAGGTGGGAGCTGCAGATGTGAGGCACTGCTAGACTAAACAGACCACGAATCTTCTATTTATGTGATGACCCCAGCTACCCTTTGCTATTTAGGCTTTTTGCTAGCTTGCCTGTTTTAACACGGCTGCAACATTTACAATGGGGCAGGTGGATCAGTTATTTCTTATTATATACCATCTGGCCTACCTAGGTCAGTGTATTTAAGGCTGCAGGCCCTCATACTGAAAAGTTTGGAGACCTCTGATCTACAAGGTGCAAATTATGTCAGTTTTGCTTCTAAATGTGGATCAAATGAAATTTTCAAGTACTCCTAGTGCTGCACAATACATTTGTTTTTGTTTCTGTTCCACACAGCCCACACACTGGGATACAGGCATATGAAACAGATGTACCCAAGATTCCGACTGCTTGCATTTCAGTGGAAGATGCTGAGTTAATGGCCCGAATGTCTTCCCGGGGCACCAAAATTGTTGTGACTCTGAAGATGGGAGCCAAAACGTATCCTGATGCTGATTCCTTCAACATAGTTGCAGAAATCATTGGCAGTAAATACCCTGAGCAGGTGAGTGATGCTTTGCTTGTTTCATGTTTGGAGATAATTTTAAACATCATTGAGATTATCTCGTCTCAAGCTTCCAAATCAGTGTAGTATCTCAAGGTCTGATGCTAATTTTAAAGAAACAAAGTCACATAATTATGTAGAATGCATACTGTACTGAAATACTGTCCTCCCTTGTTATTTGTTGCACAAACACTGAAATGGAGAACTATTTTAACACAGGACTGACCTACCATTAAGCAGAGTAAGGTAGCCACCTCTGGTATCAGATGCTAATAGACATGGAAGGGAAAGACTTCTATGTGGCACGTGACCTGCCGGAACCCCTTAAACTCCCTGCCTGCCACTCTCAGATAATGTTCAGGATTCTGTCCTTTTGTCAAGGGGAAGATGAAATACAACTACCAGCTTGGCTGGCTTTTGTACATGGAAGCGGATGCCACATTTGATCCTTTAGGCAGCAAAATGTTTCTGGTTTGCACTTTCACACCAATATACTCATTATAGATGTATTATTTAACTGTCTATATTGTTATTTTTAGCACACAAAGCACCACTAAAAGTAGATGACAGATAAGGGAAATGCATGCTAAAAAAGAACAAGGAAAATATAGTAGTTAATCCAATAAAACATTAAAACATAGTACTCAATGATCATTCCTTTCTTTGTTTCTAAAGTGATGTGGTAGTTAAGTATCTTAATGTCCAACAATGTGTGTGTTCATGACAGGAAAATGTTTATTCCACAAATACAGAAGATCTATATGACT